ACCCCCCCCCCCCCCCAGTATAATAACCACAATATTGAATTCATGAGCTCTTTTTGGCCAGGTTCCATCCTGAGGAGTGTGTCCGCGGCACCGCCATCTTCTTCCGCGAGGCTTACAGCCTGCTGTCATCGAGGTTGTCGCTTTTAGGGTTTAGGGCTACCTTAACCCCAAAAGCATGTAAAACAATAGCCCTAAACCTTTAATAATAGCCATAAAGGCCATTTTTTACATACTTTTGGGGTCCAGGTAGGGTTTATTAGAAAGGGGTCCAACGTGGGGGTCCCAACAACAGAGAGGAAGATGGTATTTGGGGGTCTTGCTTGGGGCCCCCCATTTTATACCTTAACGGGTGCCAGGATAGGAAAGACCGGAAGCTATAAGCAGATTAGAATCTATAGTCCTGTGGCAGTTACAACTATAGAAACCATGGTTCTTTCGCAGTGTACAGTACCTCTCTGAGGCAACCAGGGACGAAAGTTTAGCCAGCTTGGTTTGCAGAGGGTTGCTTCATTGCAGGACTGTCAGGATTTAGGGCTTAGGGTTCATGACTCTGTCTCAGGAACCGCAAATTCGAAGATCTCTACCTGCGTCAGCAAGATGATAATTATTGCTTTGTCAGCTGCTCTCTGGATTGCTGCGCGCGGCAGGTCTATCAGGACCTTTGCGACCAAGTACCCAGGCTTGCGTCCATGCAATGCGGTCTCACTGGTTGATTTGCTTCCCAGAGGAGGTTGATAGGATTTTTTGGAAGGTGAAAGAGGCAGATGACACATCCCTATAAGCAGCAGAGGCAAGCAGCTTCGCTTCCTCGAGGGACTTCCTGTTCCAGCCAAAACAACACAGTAAACTGGTGCGCCATGCTGCGCCCTTGCAACACCAAGCTCCCTTGAAGCAATCTTAGGAAAGCGGGAAGGAGCACACAACACAGCAAATCATCAACCCCTGGCATTCCTTTCGCCGCTACCTCTGCCAAGCTCGTAACATGTGTCCCATTCCGGCATGCCGGCAGGCTCTCTGTGGTGATGTCAACTGAGCTGCTGCCGCTGCAGCCCGGCTTGGAATTGGATGAATGTTTCGGGTCTGGCTTCAGGGCTACTTTCACCAACGGGTGAAGCTACATAAATGGTCGCCACTGCACTCAGATCAAGGGGGGTGAACTTGCATAGACCTCGATCCGGAAGTTACTGAGCAAGTCCGTCACGAGACATCACTAGGATATCTCCTCGAATCTCATGTGAGTACGCATGATTACTTACTTATGCACAGGATGTCCTGACAGTCCTTGCATTGTCATGTTAAAATCCACCCGTGACCGTCTAATTCCGAACTCATTTAGGTTCTTATGCGGGTACGTGCAAAATTTGGTGCAATGTATCCATACTTTTCCAAACTTGCTCAAACTTGTCTGTAATTAGAGTGGATACCATGAAAACGGCTTTAGACGGGGAAGACATTTTCACACTGCATTGCTTGACCTAGACTCATCCAGGCTACGGAAGTCCTGGGCGTCCGTAGACTTCGGCAGCTTCCTGCCAAAGGAGCCACCTGCAGTTCAGAGTACTAATAATATTGGGATAATGGAAAAGAAAATGGAAACTAGTACACATTATTTAGGGCTCAGGGTTTAGGGCTTATAGAGAGTAGGAATATTAATATGATGAAATACAGTAGTAGTCACAGTATTATGTTCAGAGTCAAGGGCTTGGGGTTTGGGTGTGTCGGGAGGTGGCGGTGGATACACTGACACACAGATTGACAGTTTTTTTGTCATTGAAAGAAGACAAAACAACTTTTACGGATAATGTCAGTTTCTTCCCAGTCATAGATTTATCAAGACCGAGTATTTTACATCAAGGACTAACTATTAAAAATTCAACAATTAATGTAGAACCATTAGAAGGAGTTTTGTTTAGTAATCAATTCGGAGCAGAAACAGACAGAGA